TTTCGGGGTAAATCAATTCTTCGAACAAGAAAAAATTGCATAAACATAAACTGTTGCCGCTCCGCGCGGATTTCTTGGATCCGCACTGGACCCCCGTCCCCGGCGCGCGGAACGCGCCAGGGGCGGCGCTGGAGGCGCCGCTAGCGGGGGCCCAGCGCGGATCCAAGAAATCCGCGCGGAGCGGCGAAAGTTTATGTTTATGCCGTTTTCTCCTCTTCTCAAAATTGATTTACCCCGAAATTCATCTGTTCGTCGAGGCCATGCAACGTGCGTAGAATGTTCGTAGGTCTACGAACAGTCTACGTGCGACCCGACGAGAAAGATGGCATGTGGGGTGAAACAGTTATGAAGGGGCCCTGGGACATACAAACAAATAGACACAAATGACAGGATTCCCCATCTTTTCCCACCATATTTTCTGGATTTCGTCTTCCCCCCCATTTCCCATATTTTTCCAATATTTTCCGGGGAATCGACGATTGATTTTAGGTCGGGCGTGTCCCCCTACAGAGGTGTTTTTTGGACGAAAAATTGAAAATCGTCCGAAACTACCCCAAAACATTTAAAAACACTCCAAACAACGTCCCCCGACTATTTTTGAATAACTATTCTTGAATATTCTCCACCTGTAGACGGACAGGCCCGACTGAAAGTTCTGCGGGCGGGCCCCCGACGCGGGCGCTGCACCCCTAGGGGGCCACGTGCGAACCCTACCCCTACCCCCCACGATTTCTGAGGGGGAGGGTGGAGTTCACTTCGCTCGTGACCTCCCGAACGAAGTAAACCCCACCCTCCCCCTCAGAAATCGTGGGGGGTAGGGGTAGGGCTCGCACGTGGCCCCCTAACCCCGCCACGCCCCCCGCGGGGGGTGGGCGCGCCTGCAGCTTCAGTGGGGCGGGCGGTGGGCGGCCGAGGGCAGCGCGGGCGAGAGGCCCTCCTGTCTCGAGGGTGGGGGCCGGCGCGCGGGCCGGGCGACAGCGAGAGACAGAGGAGGAGGAGAAGGAGGAGGAGGAGGAGGAGGAGGAGGAGGAGGAGAAGGACGAGGAGGAGGAGGAGGAGGAGGAGGACGAGGACGAGGAGGAGGAGAGAGAGAGAGAGAGAGACACACTGTTTTCGTCGGCGGCGAGGTGGCGAACTCGACGGCTCCCCCTCCCCCTCCCCCTCCCCCCTGAATGTTCAAAGTTGGCGGTGGGTCTGACGAGCTGCACCTCGGCCGCAGCCTTCCGCACCTCGACCTCCGCCTCGACCCCAGAGGCCCTCCTGTCTCGAGGGGGCAGGCGCGCGGGCCGGGCGGCAGCGGGGGACCGAGAGAGGGCGAGGGGAGCGTCAGGGAGCAACTCCCCCAGACCCCCTCGAGGAATGGAAAAAATCGTGACGGGAGGTGTTTCGTCACTCTCGGACCCTGGGGGCCCTCACCGGGCCTCGGGACCGGCGAAAAACGACTCGGGATGAAGAACCGGTCCTGGGGAATAGGTTCAGACCTCGGGGGGTCGACGTTTCGACAAAAAACATGACGTCGGGGGTCTGGGCATGGAGGCCTTCGTGCGAACGATATCACGGGTGACTCGGCCCGACCAGGGAGCCACTGAGCCGGACTAGCCCAGATGATATCCTGGGCCCAAGATGACGCCGGACTGAGCGGGATCAAACCGCACTGAGCGGGATCGGGCCGGCCGGATTATAGGCGGCATTCTGCAGCATGCGGCCGGTCTCCGACCGCGGAGCCATGCCGGCGCGCCGGTATGCTGAACTCTGCCCTCCCAGGAGCCGCACCCGAAGGAGGGGCGGGCCCAGACCCCCGGCGTCCTGCTTTTTCCACAACGTCGACCCCCAGAGGTCTCCGCCCATGCCCCAGGACTCGTGTTTCATCCCTCCAGATTGTTCCAGAACGTCGACCCCCAGAGGTCTCCACCCATTCCCGAGAGGACCCATTGTTCATCCCGAGCCGTCCCCTCTGACGGCCCCGGGGCCCGGCAAGGGCCCCCAGAGGCCAAACACGGCGAGGAAAACCTCCCGTCATGATTTTCCCAGCCTCCTCGATGAGAAGGCGAAAACCCACCCCCACTCCCAGTCCCGACTCCAACCCCGAACCCGCGACTTAAGGAGTCGGGACTGGGGGTGGGGGTGGGTTTTCGGGGTCCAAGAATGGAGAAAACCCACCCCCACCCCCAGTCCCGACCCCTTGAATCGCCGGCTCGGGGATGGGCGTCGGGACTGGGGGTGGGGGTCGGTTTTCGCCTTCTGACTCGAGGGGGCCTTGGGGGGGGGGAGGGGGGCGAAAGCGGAAGCGCGGGGGTCGGGCAGGGGCGGCCGCCTGCGTTGGCTTCGGGGGGACGCCGCCGGACCGCCGCGCACGGCTCCCGGCCAGGGCTCGTCCCGGGGCCGGTGCGTGCGCCCTCGCGCGGCCTGGCCACCCGGGCCCCCGACGTCATGATTGTTTCAGCACGTCGACCCCCGAGGCCTGCCCCGACTCCGGATCCGCCCTACTTTGGGGAAATTCGTAAGTGAGGCTTGGAATTTCCGCCTTACTTTTCAAGCCCCGCTGATGCCAATGTCCGCCCTACTTTTCGGTTGCTGTTTCTGTGGATTTCCGCTTTATTTGATGTTGGGTGCAGCAATTTCCGCCCTACTTTTTCGGCCTCTTCTAGGTGGATTTCCGACGCAATTTTAAGTTGTAGAAAAAGCTAAAGTAGGGCGGATCTGGAGTCAGGGTGGACCCATTCCCCGGGACCGGTTTTTCGTCCCGAGTCGTTTTTCGACGGCTCCGAGGGCCGGCCAAGGCCCCTGGACGCCCGAAGTGGCGGCAAACCTCCCGTCATGAGTTGTTCATTGCCCGAGGGGGCCTGGCCAGGGAGTTTGGAGTCCCGAAGCGGTGCGGTGACAGACTGTGCGGCGACCCCGAAATCCTCCGAGACCTCACCGCACGGCCCGGCGGCGCACGCTCTATTCGGGACCTCGGATGCCCCCGCCGCCCGAGGCCTCCTCGGAGGACGACCCGAGCCCCAACACCGTGCGGTGACCCAGAATCCCACTGACTCACCACACGGCGTGGTTACCACACTGTTTGGATGCCCCCAACTCGCGCGGGGGACGAGGCTCCCACCCCCCTCCCCCCCCTCGTCCCCGCATCCCTCCCCTCCTCCTCACTCCTCCTCCCAACACCGTGCGGTGACCCCCGAGGGAGGCACCAGCGACTCACCGCGCGGTGTGTGGGCACCACCCCGCTTGGGGGCCCCCGAGGGAGGCGCCCGCACCGGCCCCCCCCCTGGGCCCAGGACCGGCCCGCGGGCCGGCCCTGGGTCGGCGAGGGGCGGCCGGAGGAGGAGGAGGAGGAGGAGGAGGAGGAGGAGGAGGAGGCGTATGCCCGCCAGGCTGCCGCGCACGGTGGCCTGCGAGATGGAGGCCGCGGTCTGCTGGAGGGCCGCCTTGGAAGCGCCAGCTGCGTCTCCACCGCACCCCGGAGGGCTCTTCAGGCCCAGATTCCCTCGGGCAACGAAAAAAACATGACGGCAGGTTTTTCGCTATTTGGGGCGTCCAGGGGCCTTTACCGGCCCTCGGGACCGTCAAAAAACGACTCAGGACGAAAAACCGGTCCCGGGGAATGGGTCCAGACATCGGGGGTCGACGTAATGAAAAAATCATGACGTCGGGTGTCTGGGTCTCCACCTCACCCTGGGAAGGTTCGTCAGGGGTGTGTTTCCTCAGAGGCCGCCTCGCTGCTCTGATGCATACTGCTTTCATGGCGTGCATTTCGGTCGCTGCCCGCTTCTAGCGGGCCCGTGAGGCCTGTAGCCTGCACCCACATGCTGCACGCCCTGGGCCATGGCTCCCTTTTCGCGGATGTCCTGCATGTCTCCTGTGTCCCCCTCCCGCTCTCGCCCCCCTTGCCCCCGACACCCCTGCTCCACCTGCTCCACCTGCTCATTCCCCGGGGAGCCCAGAAGAGGACGCACGCGCCAGGCCACGTGCACTGGTGCGCCCCCCCAAGATTCGCGAGGCCGCCCTCCAGTCAACAGCTCTCGCGCAACGCGCTCGCTCGAGACGCATGCGAATTCGTGCACGCGAGAGGGGGGCAGGAAGGCAGACAGAGAGACAGCAATAGAGCGAGATACTCACAGAGGGGCAGACATATAGAGGCAGAAAAAGAAAAAGAGAGAGAGAGAGAAAAAAAAAAAAAAAAAAAAAAAAAGAGAGAGAGAGAGAGGGACAGAGAGGGGCATAGAAAGAGAGAGAGAGAGAGAGAGAGCAAAACAAAAAAAATGAGAGCTGCGGGAGAGTCCTGGCGCACACGCCAGAATGACAAGATGTGCCGAGACATGAACACGGAACAGGAGGACGAGGATGACCGGGCTGTTGCCCGGCACTGCGACGGGGGCGACAGGGGATGGAGCACAGGCAAGCCTCGGCTGCAGAGCGACGCTGCACCGATGCTGCTCCATGTGCCCCGGGACCCTCCTGGGGGCGCCCTCCGGCTTGGGACCTCGAAGCGGATCCAGCCGCGGCGACGACGGGCCCCAGAACTCTCCTGGGGCGCCCTCTGACGAGGGCCTCGAAGCGAATCCGGCCGCGGCGGCGACAAGCGCCCCCGGGAGGCCGAGGAAGGCGGCACAGCTGCGACCGGCGAGGGGCGGGCAGCGGGATCGGCACCCCTTCCCAGGCTTAGCTCGGGCGTGGATTCCTACAGGGGGGTTTTGGACGAAGATGAAAAACAGTCAAAAAATACCCCCGAAATATTCCAGAATAGCATGAAAAATCGTCCCCTGACTATGTTGTTACTACCTTTTGAATCTTCCCCCTGTAGAGGGACGTGCCCGACTTCATCCCCGGCCGCAGACCTGGCGCCCCGCGCCCCGCGGTGTGCGGCACGCGGCTGCCTCCGCGCCGTCGCAGGCGTCATGCTTTCGTCTTGGCGCGAGCATCGACACGGCGGCGGACACGGGCGCGCCCCGGCGCGCCGCGGGGCCGCGAGGCCGAGGTGCGGCCCTCCCGTCGCGCAGGCGTCAGCTCGCCGTGCCCGAGGCGCGGAGCCGCTCGAGGGAGGCCTGGCAGTAACGCGAGTACATGGCCTCGCAGGCGTCGCCGCCGAGGATCGGCGGCGGCAGGAGTGGTGGGCAGCCCAGGGGCGGGTCCTGCTTAGCGTCCGCCGGGGAGCCTCCGCCGAAGGCACGGGCGATCGGGGCCCCTGGACCTGCGTGCGGTGCTCGCCCCCGGGCTGCCCCCCCCCTCTTGCGGCCGCCGAGAGGACGGAGGAGCACCCGTTGAAGGAGATGACGAGGTCGCCCTCCTCGTACGCCTCGTGGGGCAGCGCGTGCTCCGTCCTCCGCACCAGCTCAGGCGGGTACGAGTTCAGGGCGCGCTGCCTCAGCAGCGCCACGCGCGGGTCGTAGCCCGCCGCCAGAGGCCCGTCGCCCTCTGGCGGCCCGCCCTCGGGCCCGGCCAGCCCGGCGAGGACCCCGGGCACCAGCGACAGATACATCAGAGGCGCCTGCTCGTGCCAGGGCATGTGCTGGAACGACTGCGGCATCGGCGCCGACAGGAGGTCGACGGTCCGCGTCAAGAAGTCGGAGCTCCACTCGTTGTTGCGCAGCAGAAACGATCCACTGTTCAGCATCATCCCGTCCTCTGCGATCAGCATGGACGCCTCAGGGCTCTGCTGCAGAGCTGTCCGGATCAGGGAACTCGCCGACACCATTGGGGCCTTCGGCGTGTGGGATCCTCCTCCTCCTCCTCCTCCTCCTCCTCCTCCTCCTCCTCCTCCTCCTCCTCCTCCCCAGGCCTCCACCCCAGGCCTCCACCCCAGGAGACCGAAAGGGTTGTTTTGGACGGGGGCGCGGTTCGAGTTAACGGTGCCAGCGGCCCCGGCGACTCATCTGCCCCAGAAGCGCTCTCAGACACGCCACGAGTGCCCCAGATCGCTCCCAGATGGTCCGAGAGGGCTCCGAGACGGCTCAAGACGGCCCAAGCTGGGACGCCTAAAGAGGGCCCCAGAGCACAGGACCCCACGGCGCCCCAAGGAGGCAAACATTATACATGTTCCGAGTGCTTTTGAATGATTTTCGAGTTCTCAAGTGTCCGGGCTTCTGACAGTCCAAGACGGTCCAAGAGGCTTCTCAGACCGGCCCAGGACCGTCTAAGAGGGTTCCATGATGCCCAAAGAGAGCCCTAAGAATAGCCCAAGAGGCCCCAAAGACTCCTATGACGATCGCAGGAGGAGCCAACGAGAGGGAACTCCAAGGGGCTCCAGGAGCCCTCCCCCACAAAATGACGCCCAAGACCCCCAACATGCCCCCAAGAGAGGCCCACGAGGGCCTCAAGAGACCCCCAAGAGACCCCCAACAGGGTCACTGATTCACATAACGATGCAACAGGGCTCCTTTTGAGCAAGGTATGGGGTTACCAGATCCACGCACGGCGCCAAGACGCTTCTACGACAACGCCCCCAAGAAGAGAGGCATTCGGGGCTCCGAGGGGTCGGCGGTGCGGCGTGGTCCAATGAATCTACAGTGTGCTGGGGGTTCATGAAAAACAGGTCGCAGTCAACCCAGAACAGCCAATCGAATTCTGGAAGGCTCTTCTGTATGGCTATCAGCTTGTTCATCCAGGGGTGTGCGTTATCGACAAAGGGCTCCTCGAAATGACGAAGTGTGTAAGAATGATGAGATGCATACGCGGTCTTGCTACTTCGGGACAGTGACGTGAGCTGCGTGACGCTGTCATTGTAGTTGCAATACGAGACCAAGCCTATGCGCCAAGTCTCGTCCCGGAAAGCGACCGGAGGCAACACCGCAACTGCGGCTCCTGGACCCGCCTCTGCCTTCGCCAGCTTCGCGAGCTCCTGCGCCTCCGACGACAGGCGCGACATGTCCGTCTGCCAGCGAGAGTGCTGAAACCAGGCGCCGTAGTCGTTGAAATTGAAGAGCATAAAGAGCTTGGCCAGATGCAGCAGCCGCAGGGCGCGCTGCACACAGCGCGCCCCCAGCAGCTCCAGACAGAGCGCGGCCATCTGGTGCAGTGCTGCACTGGTGCCGAGCGGGCAAAACAGGGCAGCCACCGGGTCCGCCACCCCGTAGGGCAGCAGTATGTCTCGCAGCGCCGAGCCAACGCTGAACATCCGCTCCGAAGGAGTCAGCGTGGACACCGCCACCTGCCGCGCCGCCGCCGGGCCAGCGGCCGGCAGCCCCAGGAGGGCGGCGACACCCTCCCACTGGAGGGCCTCTGTGCCAGGGGGGTGCACGCAGTTCATCAGCTCCGTGAAGTGCTGCACGATCCAGTGCCCCTGCGCCGCAGCGGGCCGACCACCCACCGCCGCGGCCAGCAGGGCTGCTGCCGCCGCGCCCGGGCGCCCGCGCCCCATGGCTGCACGCGGCCTGCCGCGCCAGGGCCCAGCCGCCGCCGGGCGGCCAGCGCCGTGTCCTCCGCCGTGGGCGCGGCAGCCAGCGGCGCGGAGGAGGCCGGCCGGCGGCCCGCGCCCCGCTCGGCTCGGCGCGGTCGCCCGCGGGA